GATAACCCAAAGATTGGTGGTTCCTACTCACCAAGTTCTCTCTGGGAGAAAGGACTTGGTTCGTTCTCTGTTTCTGTGAAGATTTTTGGGATTTCCGTGGGATTTGGGGGTCTTAGGATATTTGCATGCGTAGCTTCAGTAGATGGTGACATTGTTTTTCCTAAGTGGTGAAATATTTGACATTTTCATAGCAGTGTTTGAAAGATTCAGCTACTCTCCTTCCTCACCTATACTTGGTATTGCCATTCCTCTCAATGGTTCACATTGTGGTAGAGGGCACTCATGTCTCATTGTGGCTTTCATCTGAAACATAAAGGAAGGAATGAGACAGAAAGAAGTGGATAAACTCTAGCTTCTGCCTGTGCAGGATCCTTCCACTCCTGCCCTCTCAAAATACTCAGTATGTATAGACTTGGGATAAACCGTGGAAATTTCTCTCCAAATGGGACCTGGAAGGGAATAATGGATATTCCTGGCACACATGTCAGTACAAGAGAGTCACACAAGGGCTTTATATTTCTTTCTTTTTCTTTTAAATCATTTAATTGGGGGCGTGTACAACTCTTATTACAATCCATACATCACTTGAAGCAGGCATGTTTTACATACGTTGCCTTAATTCTTTTCTAGACATTTACTTTTTTTTTAACCATTTTATTGGGGGCTCATACAACTCTTATCACAATCCATACATACATCAATTGTGTCAAGTACATTAGTACATTCATTTCCCTCATCATTCTCAAAACATTTGCTCTCCACTTAAAGGGGTCTTATATTTCTATGGACGCTTTGAAATGTACAAACATACCGATTTTAAATGATTAGTACCTATGAATGGGTTTCACATATAGAATAATCACGAATGGGTCATTTGCTATTAAAGTTTAGCATGGTTAAATGTTAGGGTTGGGTCAAAATGTATACCTGTGTCAATAATTGTGGGTCGCACAACTGTTTCATGAGATAGCAGGAAAAAAACAGCAATAGTACAATCTTCTCTGGTGGCACCTTGAAACATTATTATATACTTAATCTATATAGAAGCCAAGTTTACTGACCAACTTAATAATGTAGCCATCTGCAGCGAGATGATTAAAGATTAAAATGTAAATTAGAATTAAGTCTATGGATCTATCAAAGTAAAAAATGGCTCATATTAATTATCCATCATTTCCTCAATGATGATGATTTCTTGGGTTAGTTTCTGCCTACAATATTACATGTGATTATGTATCATCTGACTCATTGAAATGCTACAGGACAGAACAGATGTGCCTCGTGGGGTTTGCAGGGCTGTAATCATGACAGGAGCAGACTCCCAGATCACTGTGCCCACAGAGCAGCTGGTGGGTTCAAACCATGGAACTCTGGTCAGCAGCTGAGAGCTGAGCCATCACACTTCAAACTACTGACCAGTTTAGCAAAACCAAACCACAACAAACCTCTACAGTCACCCATTACTGGACGTGAGAATCGTTCCTTTGGGAATCATAATGCACACACATACTCACACGGGAAAGCACATCGCCTTCTCATATTTCTATGCCTTTTAGCAAAGCCATCTTTATCATGTGGCTCTCATTTAATTTCTAGTAGAGAAAAAGACATGAGACCGAACAGCCCCCAAAGCAAGGTGAGGGGGCCCTATTTTGAAGTCTTCTCCATAGTCTAGCCCAGTATTTCTTCAACTGTGTTCTACAGAATAGATACTGATCACCAATACTTGCAAAGGAGTGAATAACGCTGCACACTATTTCCCTTTGAAGGATCACGATTCAAATTAGTATATTGCATGTTCAGAGATGTCCTAAAATAAAGAAACCTACTTAACTTTGTTGTGCCTGTTGCTCCATTAACCTATTTTTAATACACATATTATCTTTTTAAGTAATGTTTATGTCCCATTTCAGACCAATTTTTAATCCCTTTGATCTAATAGCAGTTCATGGTGGAGTGGTGGTGACACATCAGGCTGCTAACTGCAAGGGCAGCAGTTCAAAGCCAGTCCTCAGGAAAAAGATGGGCTTTCTACTCCTCTAAAGAGTTCCAGTCTCAGAAACCCATTAGGGCGGTTCTGATGTGTCCTACAGGGTAGATATGAGTCAGACTGGCCTCACTGGCACTGAGTTTGTTTATCAC